GTACAAATGATTAACTTATAGAAATATTGCAAACTGCCTGAATCCGTGTCATGTAGATACATTGCTTCTTTTTCGGACTGTAGGGAAAACACTATAGTTCCATCAGTAAGCCATTAGATAAAATAAAAAGCAGCATATTAAGAATGTTGTCTATGTCTAACACAGCCATCTTTGAGAGTCCTCATAAAATCTATAATAATTCCTGGACAAATAAGCAATAGCAAATACAAATTATGCAAACAAAAACTAGATAAAAAATAATCATCATTAACAAATCTCCCACATCAAATCTAAACTATAATACACATGAACAAATAGTTTTAACCAAGAATTAAGCAATAAAATGTTAAGCTAGTAAGCTCAGAATTTTTTTAAAACACATTTGATGAGGCAGAACTTTAGTATCCAAAGATCTTCCAAAAATATTCCACTTTCTTTCTCAAATGTAGAGAATGCTTCATTTCCTACAAATTGTTTTTCCAATTCTGTTCAAGAATATTAACTTCATTAAATCTAAAGACTTAAACCTGAATTATGGCTTGATGAAATCTCTGTGGGAAAAAAGAAAGAGATCGCAGCTACTTTAAAATTGTCTTACAATGGAAACATAATTTGTTGATGAGAATGTAGACTTATACAGAAAAGGAGGATTAAAAAATACAAAACATCAGCTTAAACACTGGGGTGGGTTTTTAAATAGAAAAGTATGTGTGTATGTGTGTGTGTTTTTAACAAACATCAAGGGTAATATTCTGACATGAGTCATACCTTTAAAAGAGAAAATACGATAAAAATATTTGCTAAAAGAAGTAAAATATCACCTGTAATAAAAAATCCATCTTGATATATGTTGCCCAGAATCATTTCTGTTTATAACAATGGACTTCTATTCCATATTTAACATGGTTAAGCATTCCGTCAGTTTGGCTGTAATCTTACTTTCTGAAGGTTCTCTTCTGTGATGGCTTCTTCTATTCAAGGATATATTTGATAGTAAAATATTGAATGAGTATACTAATATATACAATACACTTACCAAAGCAAGAGGAAAATTTCAGAAAGAATAATTCAGAAAAATATAATAAGTTAAACTCAAAAAAGTGTTAAAATTAAAGTCAGATCTTGAATTCAATTTTTTCACCTAGTAATATTACCCTACCTCATGATTTTAGATGGAACAGCATATAAAACCAAATGTTTAAGTCATACAAACACAAGATTGATGATTTTCTTTTGCTTTCTAGTTTAACACAATGAACTAAAGTATATAGAAAAAGAAGAAAACATCAAAATCACTGAAAATCTTGCTTAGCATGTGTAACTATTCTGAATGTTTCCTTTTCTCATTTGAAAATCAGTGATACTATAAAACCTGTAAGGTTCATGGCTACTTTGACATGATCAGATTCTATTAAACATCTTTCTCTTCATGATCATCAATTCTACCCATCACTAATATAACTTTTAAGCCAAAACAACAGTCCTTTGGGACTTAATCACTTTTGAAGGCATTTCCAAAACAAAGCGAGTGACGACAAGGAATAAGCCACGTGATTCAAGCGCATGTACTAACAGCCTACATGTAGCAAATCAAGTGTATCAACATTCAATTAAATGTTCTGGCCTGACTCACACAGTTATTTCACACATAAAAATGACTTGAATAATGACCTCATGAATGTATTGTTATGTACTAGGGAGTGTACCTCAGCCAAAATCCCATTTTAAGGTCTCTAGAATATAATTTCCAAAGGTCACAGGCCATGCAGCGCCTCAAGGCTAACTATCTCTGTCCTTTCTACTGGTCTTCATTACTACAATTACTTAAATCATAGGGTGGCTGTTTTAGAACAACTAGCGCTTTACCTTTGCTTGTGACACCCCCTGTAATTCATCTTCTCCATCTAACACTATTACTGTTTCAATCATAAAATAATGATGGTGAAGATAATAGTAATATCACTCCAAAATGGTAAATACTTGGACACCCCCAAAATTATTCTCATGCTTTGACAGAGAACAGCCAGTTTTTCTTCACAAATAGTATTTTCTATGCTGTGTTGCCAAGAGCACAGACCAAAGAAAAAACACAATCTAGTTCTGGTCTCAATTCTGCCACAGTCTTGCTGTGTATCTTTTCATAAACCACAGTGTTGGTGAGGTGCTCTATTATCATCTATAATTGTAAGGATTTTGCAGCACAACGCTAGGGTGTATCAGCAATTTATACCCTCTATATGGCATTCATGAATCATACAACATGTGCTCCAGTCTCTAAAACTACATGGTATAAGGTCCTGCCTTTCCAATTTCCATGGCTTCATTTTGTGTTTGGCATAATTCTTAAACAGGAGCGCTTTGCCATGATCAAGTCAGGATGTTCACTGTGAGCGCAAAGTTTCAGCTTAATACATACCAAAACTTGGTGAACAAAGAAAAGAAATCAAGAGACGATGATGTGTCAGCCCTGAAATACAATCCTGGTCATCCCCACCAAGCAATCGACTTAGCCTTGCTGCCTCAGCTTCATTCTCCTAGAAAGCTTGGTCAAGGGAACATGTGTCTCCAAGCAGACTTCCAGAACAGGAGCTCTTTTTCAGGACAACAGACTTCATTTCACCATTCTGCTTTTGTGACTCAGTATTCAATTCATAAGGACATGACTTAGAAAGACTAGTGGCTTCAGGAATAACTCAGATATTAAGTGAACATCAACGTGCATATAAAACAGATTATCTTAAATAATGTTTTTCTTCTTTTTGGTATTTGGCAACTTCCTACCAATCCAGCTGAAGAATCCTCTCTGGAATTGAGATGTAGAAGGTGCTCACTCTATAAACAGGTTCATCCCATGCTATGTGAATCACAGTTCCCGACTGCAAACCAACAGATTATTTGGCTTTGTTACTAACGATAATAGCCTGCTACCACCTTTCCAGAAAGCTTTTCCATACCCCACACTCCCATTCTTCTGAGCACAGCCTTGGAACAAGCTTAAGTCGGTGCTGTACAAGCATAGGCATGGTGTCCCTGCACTGGGAATGTCTTAACAGGTCCTGCGATGGTTCTGCCAAATTGTCACTGTGACACCTCAGCTAAATGAAGTCACCAGCCAGGAGTCTCCCAGCCAAGATGAGCACTAAATAGATGAAAAAAAGAAGCAGATTAAATGAAGACTTAAGGAAACAAGAGACTCAGAAATTCCCTCAATTTCTCAATTTTCTAGTGAGACACAAAGCTAAGTGCCAGAACAATCAATGAATAAAATTTCTTTCCCAAGCAAAAATAAGCCCTCAAATTTCTTATTGCCTAATCAACTTCATCAAAAATCCAATGAATTTACCTTATCCATTTTCAAACATAATCTGCCAATCATACCAATTACCTTGTCTCTAACTGAGTAAGTTGAATGGCTTCAACTAATAAACATAAAATTATCCCAACTAGAGAACAGAATCTATTTCAGAGATTGGGGCAAAGAATCCCCTTGAGTTAAGAACCTTGAAGTTCCTTGTGGACCACACACAAGCCCAGAGAAGAAGCCCCCCAACTGATGCATGCATAACAAAACAGGGAGCTCACTTTCCCCTCATATGAATGACTGTGCAGACATAAATCTTCCTTACTTTACATGAAAAAGGGTTTATATGAGACTTCACTAGCATTTCCAATTGGGATCATGATTATTTTTGCTTACCCCTAAAATTTACTACTTTATCATCATCACAGAGTTACAAAACAACCCCACTGCAGGTTGAAAAATCCTGCAAAATCGCAATAAAACAAGACAGTGTCTTCACAAGCCTTATTCCAAAAATTTTAACCTAATTCTGAGTCCCTCTAGTCCAGCCATCCTGTGTATCTTTCTTACCACCTCTCCAATGAATCTAGTCCCAGCATCTCATTCAAGGAACCCAGGACACTCATCCCAGTAAACAAAACCAGAAGCCTAACTCAAATGCATCAGTGGATCACAGAACAAACTCCCCTTCTAGACAGTATTTCCTGCCAGGTGTCTCAAGTAAGTGGATAGAATCAGCAGATTGCAAATGACCCTGCAGCCACTCCCAGGGGATCAATAGTCAGAGGAAGCCCAGATTTTGGCAATTCTGCCTTCTTTCTCTCAGGCTGGGAATCATAGTGAAATCCAAGGTATCCAATTACTCTTTGCAGATTTGACCAAATCATTGAGTTGAGGGCCACTGGAGAAAATCAACTTGGAAATGGCCAGACCAAAAGCATCACTGTGAAATCTTACAGTCTCCGTTTCAACACCCAGGTCAAGCTTCAAATGCCATCTTGTTCCCCAAGCGTCCCTAAAGTAGAAGTGAATTCACAAAAGATGGTAATAGGGACAGCAAAGTTGGTGAGCAGAGGCTTCAAAGCCACAGCAGAAGCAGGAAGATAATGGAAAGAAGAGGAACTACAGGAAAGGAAGTGAAAGGGCAGTGTGGGAAAAAGAAGAGGTGAGAAATTAAGTGGGATGCTTGAAAGGTGCAACACTGTGTGTGGCTGAACGAAGAGTTAGAAAAACAGCTTAAAGTTTATCCAGGGTCTGCTAAGTGTCTATCCTTTAATGCTATGGCCCTTTGGTCCTCAGGACACACGAATACTTTATGGATAAATGGGTGGTTGCATGAATGGATCGATGGTTGAGCAAGAATGGAAGGAGGGACAGAGAGAAAGGGAGAACTACTAAATGCATAATGAGATGGTCACTGCCCTCAAGGACTCCACAGGCTATTCCAGACTAGGTGTCTCCATACCCTCGCCCTGATCAGTCCACAAACGAATCAGAGCCAAAAGGGCTTTCCTGAATTTGGAACAAGAAAACTATGAATTGGCAGAGCGTACTTGAAATGCAAGATGTCCAGAAATAAGAGCAGAAGGGTCAGAATGAGAGGGATCCCACTTCCCTGCCAGAGATAACGTCAGGCGCTTTGAACAAGACGCAAACACTGTCTGTCTCCGGGGAGCCCACTGTCCGCTTTTCTACTGACCTGGTCTCCGCCTCACTGGCCTCTTGCGGCCGCTGCAGAAGCGCACTTTGCTGAACACCCCGAGGACATGCCTCTCGCATAAGGAGCGCCCGTCTTTGCTGGGGCTGGAGCGGCGTTTGGAGGCTGACACCCGGTCGCTGTTGGACTCCCTCGCCTGCCGCTTCTGCCGTATCAAGGAGCTTGCTATCGCAGCAGCCATAGCTGCTCAGAGCGGGCCGCCCCAGGCCCAGAGTCCACTGCTCTCTCGGGATCCCACTCCGCCGGGGCGAGGGCAGGACCTCGGCGGCCGGGAGAGGCAGGGCAGACGAGGGGAGGCAGTGCTAATATTTGAGGAGGCTGCAGTGCTGAAAACCCGGTGCCCACAAGGTTAGACAGAGTCTGGGCAGTGGCGACAGAATGTGTGACAATCCAGATGTAAACTTCCCCGACCGCTGGCGGCGGGCACGGGGCGGTCCCAGGCCTTGGCGAAGTAGACGTTGGCACCTCAAACTTGCACCCCGCGGCGATCCGCGTCCAGGGGGCAGAGGGGAGTTTGCTCACACTGCGTTCGGGGTACCAAGTGGAGGGGAAGAAGGAGGTCCAAAACAACAAGCACTTGCCCCTGTGGGAGAGGTGCCAGCGTTGCAAGGTGTCCGAAGTAGATTTACACAGACATAGAAAAACCCTTTTACAAAGCAGAGTGTGGAACGAGGCGGGCCGCGTGTCCCCGGTGGAAAACACTAAAAAGTGAAGCAAACGTTCCTTTAGAAAACAACCCACCAACCGCAGGCGAGAAGGAGAGGAAGGCAGCAATTTAACTCCCTGCGGCCCGCAGGTCTGGAGACTAGGAGGTCCGCCCCGGCGGGTTGAGGCCATCTACGGGATGCATCGCGCCGGCTGCTGTGCTCCGGAACTGGCCGCCCCAGCTCTGGAATCCCGAGAAGCGCCCAGTGGGAGCAGCCAGTGGGTCTTGGAAGGCGCGCTGGGCGCAGGCAGCTGTGTCCAGCGGTGGAGCGCACGCCTCGCCGCCAGTCGCACTGCAAAGGGAGCCGGCGGCGAGGGGGAGGGAGCAGGAGGAGGGAGGAGATCCTCGAGGGCCAAGCAACCCCAGGGGAGAAACGCGCGACAGGCTATCCGCGGGGTCCCAGGAGCGGGCGCTCCTTCGCTTTCCGCTGGCTTTTCCGGCACGAGACGGGCACAGTTGGTGATTATTTAGGGAATCCTAAATCTGGAATGACTCAGTCGTTTAAATAAGCCCCCTCCAAGGCAGCGAAGCCGAAGGTGTCCTATCCAGCTCGGCGCCCACACGCCTTTAACTGGAGCTCCCCGCCATGGTCCGCCCGGGGCGCCGCACCGAGCAGGTCTCCGCACAGGCTCAGAGGGAGCAAGGCAGGGAGGGAGCCAGGGAGTGAAGGGAGGTGGAGGGGACAAAGAGGGGCGCCCTGACGGGCTCCGGATCAGGTCATCGCCCCGCCGCCCCAGTCCCCAGCCTCATGCGCCTCTGGCAGTTGGCAGGCAGTTCACAGGCAAGAGATCAGATAGGGATTACTCGCCCAACGCGATGCCGATCACACCGTCCCGCGCGGCCCATCCCGACAGAGGAAGGAAGTGACCCGCGCGACGCGAACACCCGCGCTGCTGCCGGGGTGGGGTGGGGGCTGGCTGAGGGCGACGTCGGCTCCCCGTGGCTGCGGCTCGGGTCTGGAGCTGCCCACCATGGTCAGGTGCGAGGGGGCGCAGGCTGCGGCCCTAGGCCGCCCTAGGCGACAGCCGGAGGCTGCAAAGCGCGCTACCCGAGTCCTTGGGTGGGTACGCCGACTCTGGGGCCCGGACCTGAAGGCAGGTGCAGACGGCGGCCAACTCGCCCAACTTGCGGTAAGGGTGGCCACTGAGTCGCCGGTTTGCAGGGCTCCCCGCGCTGCTGCCTCCCCAGGTCCGGGAGGGGGCGCTCAGGGCGGAGTCCCATTCAAGGGTTGGGGCTCCGGGTGCGCCGAATCGCACCCGCTCCGGCGCCGCCCCACTGGCTGGTTCCGCTGGAGCGCTAGCTCCGCAGCAAACTCCAGGCAGGAGCCACCAGCCACCAAAAAGGCGGGTGGTACCAGAGGCCGGCGGCAGTTATTCCTCCGGCACAGTTCTGCCTCCCGCAGGAAAGCCAGAGAGCGTCCAGGTGGGCTGAGCTGCTGGGAAATGCAGCGCGCTCAGATCCGGCGCCCCCTTCCCTGCCACCTCTGCTCTCCGACTTCTCCGCCTTCCCTCCCGCCACCCTTCTTCTACCCAATCCCCCGCCCCGCCACCCCATCTTCTGTCTTCCCCTTTTCTCCTCTCTACGCAATCCTACGTGATTGAGGTTTGGATGAGAAATTCTCAGAGGCAGAGAGTGAGAACTGCAGCTTGGGTCTATTATGTAGGATCTCTCCCCCAAGAGAGAAAACACCCAAGGTCTGGTTCCAGGCTCCTGGGAAAGGTTAGAGATCCAAGTCGCCTGTTCACCAATTAGCTGGAGCTCAAATTCCATGTTTAGGGAGAAAGGAAATGTTCACTGGGTCAAGTGACAATGTCCTCTAGGGCCCTCTTATTGAGCCCTAACTTCCGTTCATTTTATAACAGGGGATTTCCTGGACTTAGAGCACAGATTTCTACTCAGTCCCTAAAAAGAAGGATCAGTGAGTGACCCGCAGTGGAGTAAATGGGGCAGGGGAAGCTGAAGGAGCGACAGGAGCAAGGGCAGTCAGTAGCTGACTCTGGAAGATAAGGTTCATGCACGCTGAAACACAGCAAGAGAGAAATGGACATCGCAGAAGGAGCAGGCACCTTTCATTCCTGGAAAGGTCTGGGAACAGCCACGAGTTAGATTTACAATTTCCCTTCTGCTAGTCTCATAGTACCCCTTACCACTCCCCTTCACAGGCACTTCTCTAAGCATGAAAGGTAATGCCAAAGCATTCCCTGGATGATTTTCAAGTACAGACAAGTGTATGTTGGAAAACCTAGTAGTGGACAAGAAACACACAGGACTGTGGAAGCCGAGGTGCTAGGGTTGGATGGGGATCAGGAATTGCAGATGTGGCTCTAAACCCTGAGGACCCCTAGGATTCACCTGAAAATGAGACAGATCAAGGTTAGCAGGGTTATGGGAACCTAGCACTGAGTCCAAGACCCTATCTTCACTTGGACCCTCCAGGCTGTCAACAGGCAATACAGGCTAGCAGACAGAAACACATCTGGCAATAGGATTAATCAGGCAAGACACCCTAAGTGGAGGAATCCCCACTGACAGTGGGGCATACACGTTCCCTGAAGTAATGTGGTGCGACTGAGTGAGGACAGTGGACGGACCCTTGGGACCCTTGGGAGTCGAACACGCAGAACAAGACAAGTGAGAACACACACCTGCTCTCCAACAGGGAAGTTGAATGCATTTTCAAAACTTGAATGCAATCAGGGAATTGCTGAAAATCAACTGGTGACACTGTCCTTTAGGGAAATGTTCACATTATTCACATAAAGAGAATTTCTGTCCTTTGGCTACAAAAAGACATGTCTCATTCTTGAGCAAGATAGGCACAGATGGTGCTGGCCAGCTTCAGGAGCTCCCTGCCTTTGGCAAGTCAATGCCCAAACGGAAAAAAGGGTCAGCTAAGAGAAGTATCCAGAGAAATAGGCAAGATGAGAGTACACAACAAGGCCTTGAGGAAATCATGGCTAAACTGGGAGTCTCTTTTTATCCTCAAAATAGAGATGCTCATTCCCCATCTACCTCATAGCACTGAGTATGAATGTACAAGCGTTTGAAAAACTGGAAAATGCCAAATGTGTAAGAGAGATGAAGTCAGTGTTTATTATTTTTAAAAAATGCATGAGAGTCACCTGATGCTTATGAAGAGTAGATTCCTAAAGCGCTCTCAAAATGTAAAGCAGAAATCTCTATGGTTACAGCCCCAGAATCTAAATTCTTAATAAGATCTCCAGGTGTCACAGTTGGAAAGTTTAATATGTATTTTAAATATGCTTACACATTCATGAATATATATACATGCATATGGAGATTTATATATGTAAATATACATTTATGCATTGTAGATAAAACTAGAAGACAGATGTAAACTCAAGACTCAAAAATTTGGCACATTTCCCAAAAATTGCAGTCCTGTGCCCACAAAAGGCCTGGAGAGGAGATGTGTGATTTCTAATCTTTCAGTTACTGTTTTTTTTTTTTTTTCTATAGGCTTAGAAGAAAATTGAGATGGTGTGATACAGAAGGTGGCCAATATAGAATCACAGGAAAGAAGGAGGTAATAGGGAAGAGATGAGAAAGCAACTAATAATCACTGTACGAAGTTGCCTTGACGTAACAACATCATTAACCATCGACAATCAATGCCAGCATTCTGAGAGCAATTTTTTTTCTTTAGATCTCTATTAAGTGAACATGGTATTTTGGATTTGATCAGACAACAACAAAGACTTTTCCTTTGTTACACTTCTAAACTGTGCGGCCCTCTAAATCTTCATTAGCCTTATTCACTGCTTTTCCCCAGTGAGAAGAAAATGTAAGTTCAAAAACAAAAGGGCAAATTTGAGAAATTATCTAGAACCTAAAAACATGACTGTAGAGCTCGGAAGTGCTATTTAAATGATTTTTATAGTGTATTAACTTGCATGGGACACTTAATCTAGTAATTCTTCTTCAAAATATTTGCATTTTGAGATCAAGAATGAATTTTTAAAAAGAAATGTGTGTCTTAGCAGCTGAGACACAACTTGGAATGCCTGCGTCTCACTTCTCAGCCCCTGGGTTCAAATCTCAGCTCCAATTCTCATTCCATTTACCTACTTATGAGCACCTGGGAGGCGATGGGAGGAGGCTGGCAGAGCTGAATCTTAGAGACAATGCAGGTGATTCAGATTTAGTTCCAGGCTTCTCCTTCAGCTTGACCCAGTCCTGGTTGTTGCAGGCATTTAGGGAATGAACCAATGAACAGATCTGTGTCTGTTTCTATGTTCCTCTTTTCCACCCTCAACATTGATGTAAAATAAGGACCTAAAATTTTCTTTCAAAAATAATTAGATCAACCTACTGATGATTTAGGTTAAGCAACCAGGTATCTTAAATGGTGATAGCTCAGGCATAGCAAGACTTTTAATTTTTACGCTATCTTGCTTTATGCAACCTGACAATTTTTTCCTTCCAATTTTGAAGACATCATGACTAAACAAGATTTAATCCTTTTTGGAGAAATTTGCCAGATACACATCAGAAACAGAATTATATAGTTATATTTCTGACCTCTAATCAAAAATAAAATATGAACAATCTTACTCATTTCCATATCTTAAAAGTTAAAAAACACACAGAAAACTTAATAGTTTTTTACTTATTCATAGACTGTCTTTCAGCTGTTAAATCTAACTTTAAGACTATTTCACATGATCACTTTCAATAATGCACAGAACAAAGATTGTACCAAGAGCCTGGAAGCTTGCACACCAGGAGGAACTCTGTATGCTTCTGTACACCTCTACTTTCTGTCTGTCCTCAACCACCTCAGAGTTCACAGTACGATGATCCAATGTGGCTCATATCCTAATCACCCATAAGCTGTATGCTAAGGAACAAGTTTGTCAGCCTTTCTAAACCACATCTGCAAAATAGATAAATGATAATGACCCTGAAAGTACCTTCCTAACATGGCTCTTGTAAGACTCAAGGAACAAGTGATAATAATGTAAAGTATGAAAATGAACATGCTATTTAACCATTCATTTAAACCACCTTACTGCTATAAAAAAAAAAACATGCTAATCCAAGAAAACATACCTTGTGATTCACACACATCGTCATTTACCCTTGGACATAATGTATTTAATAAAGGCTGAGCACCTACTTGAAGTGAATGATTACCCTTGACATTGTAATGGCAAACAGAATTTCCATTAGTGGAATATTGTCAATGTCCTTGTCTCCTGGAAACACAAGGAAGCCTACTTCTGCTCATACATCATCCTGCTGTGAGATCAGGACCTTGTGAGCTTGAGCTC